TGTATATATATATACGGATTTAAGATGTACTCTAAAAAATAAAATATTTCGTTTTAACGAGATAAATCAGATATCGCATATGTTGAATTAAAATCATTTTGCAATGCAAAATGTGAAATTTCAACAAAAACGGTTACTCAATTTATTTCTTAATAACTTTCTGTCTAGATATGCTTACAGAGATAGAAATTCGATTAATATTCGAGATTTAAAGATAACAATATAGACGTGGATACATATAATTGTAGATTGAGATGCAAAGGTCGATGCCATCATTGCCATCAGTCTCGGCCCGTGTAAATTTGACACAAATTTATGTAGACGTGTTATCGAACTTGCATGTCATGTTGCGGCACGACTGCGATGCCTTTGAGATAATTATGTACATCAAAGCGAAAGTCATAATGTATATGTATCAGAGTAAAGCAACATTCAAAATATTTATGAGCTGTCAAGAATTGAATAAAGGTTTAAAGTTAATTGATGAAGTCAATCGTTGTCTCTTCCTCTTATCCATTCTGTTGGAATCCAACAGTTGGGTATGCTCGATAATTCGATTAATAGCAAATATAATGAAACAACAAAAGAATAAATTTAAAAAATAAAAAAAATAATTAACAAGAAATACATTTTAAAGATTTCCTTGTTGCTCTATTTCGCTCACCTCCATTTTGGCGCCGTCGATGTATACGGGTTTGTCCGGGATATACGGCGGATTCCTCTCCTTAATGTACTGAAATATCCTCTTCTCGCCCTTCATAAATTCTATTTTGTGTAGCAAGTCGTCCGTGACAGTGTGATTGCACAGCAAGATGGCTGTGCTGCCATGCGTTATATACTGCGGCGCTATCAATTGCACGTTCATGTGATCCGCCAATGTCGCGTCTGGAAATCGTGAAATCACCGTACGTATATACTACCGTGTATATTACCTGAATTCTGGCGACCAAATAGCCATGGACATTATCTACAATGTCCAACGTGAGCGGTATTAATTCTACTGTTGGATAGTACTCGTGGAAATTGCAGGGCGCGATTAAGGGATGATTTTACGAGGTTTTTTTTCAACGAACGTGAATCGCAAAAAATCCAAAAATGAGAGTTAAAAGTTTCGAGATATTTAATAGGAGATTGAGAGAAAATATCACATTACGCAAAATATATTGTATTTCCAAATATATTTCAACAAAAGTTAACAGGACTCTCAATTAAAAAAAAAAAAAAACAATATTTAAAAAAAAAGAACTGAAGAATGAGAGTCAGACGCGAATTTCAGTGTATAACATACAAAATAACAAAGTTATTTTAAATACATAGGTTGATTAGACGTTTTAGCTTAATTTTGAGCCATCTTCAACAAGTTAATAAATATTTAGAGATAGCCTTGCTCCATAAGACATAACAATCCATCCTGAATGTCAAAAATGAATATGTCAGTCACCGATTGATAAGCCGAATGATTAATGGATTCAAACAACAACCAAGTGAAATAGAGAACGGGAGATTAAATTGATACAAATAAATTGATTGCGTTACGTGGGAAGTGAGATTATCTACAAATATCTGTTAAGATATCTTGCTGAAGTTAAAAATTAAGCTGAAATATCCCAACATTAAACTTAAAATATTTAAAATAAATTTGTTTAATAATTTACATTATGCACTGAAATCTATGTCTGACTTTCATCAGCCTTTTTTTTAAATTACTGTTTTTCAAATACATATTTTTCTATATTTTTAGATTTTTCTATATTTTTTCTCTACTGATAGCATATTTGAAATCGTATTTTGCAAATTAGTCATCCATTTAATCATCAATTTAGTCATCCAGATATTCTTACCTTTCATCGCAGTTTAAAAAATTGATCGTCATTATACATTTATAACATTTTGTGGACTAAGTAAAAACGATACTTTGCGAATAATTCAGGTATTCATTTTTTAAAGCAATTCTTCTTCTAATTATTATATTTCAAATATATTTCTTTATTTTAAGATTTTATACCTGTATATGTGGAAAACCTAACTTTATATTTTCGTATGTTTGTAATCTTATATTATAAAATCGATCAATTTTATGTTTCAGATATTTTCATGTTTTATCGTCATATTTATCATTTTTATACATTTGTGATATTTTGTGGATTAAAAGCTTTACGATATTTTGCGAGCACATTTAGATACGAAAGATTATTATTTAATAAAGAATAAAGTGAGACTTTGAAATCGTAAAACTGCTGCTTGATTCTTCCCATATATTCTATGCCATGGTTATGTGATATTCATTTTTTAGAATTGAATTCGTCGGGGGTTAACTTCGAGGGGTGTCGTAACCTACAAACCTAAATAAGGTCACGTATAGGGTGTCTTTCCGTGCACGTAATTCTAAATCTCTTTTTGGGACCATATATTCTGTTGAAATAAAATTTATCTGCAATTTACTGTGAAGAATAAGGTTCATTTTTGACTATTTATAAAAATTTCTATGTTTTTTTATAATTTTTTTATAATTGTTAATTTTCTACTTTAATTTTTGTAGCGATAAATATGAACTCCGAATTGCTCGTAGGATTGCTTGTAAAACAAAATGACATATTTCTTCTATAGAAACAAATACGCGTCTCTTGTTTATCTTATTATATACATTCAAAGCTCTATTTTATATCAAATAAAATATAATAATAAGAGAGAGATTCATACGTAGAGAGAAAGAGGAGAGAGAGAGAGAGAGAGAGAGAGAGAGAGAGAGAGGAGAGCAGTTTGATATTTCGATTAAACGCTGTCAAGACCAGTAATCATGTTCCATTCGATTTTCATCGAATTGGCACCGACATGACAACGAGTCGACGGAGAACAGATTAATCTAGCTATTGCCAGGAATTGGAAGAACGGAGGGCTTTCGCGCGGCCGACTATAACTACTTGTGGCAGTCCGCCCTGTTGCTGGGAGGTGTTACTGTATCGATCAGAATGAAAGCGCGCGTTACACGCATAGTATATTATTTCGAGACGTTTCGAGACAAGAGGCCTATTTTCGAGGTCGATCGTAACGATGGATAATGCTAATACCACGCGATTTTCTACGCATTTGTCCTGTAATATTTCAATGAGCGCTTAAAGCTGAACAATCAACTGTGTTACGTCGAAATCTTCGCAATTAGAATCGACCGATTTTTTTGTACGCGGCATTACATTGACTGGAGCAGTGGTATAATTGCAAGAAGTAGATGATTGACTTTAGAATCTATATATATCTATAAATGCGTATTTTTATTTTGAGACAATATTTTTCTTTTTATGAATATATACTTTTGCTTTGACATAATAAAATGATAATTTCTTTACAATATTTCTGTATTATAAAGTAATTTTTATATTAAGAATTCGCAAAGCAGCTTTTTCCTGCCTATTTTTATAAAACAAGAAAAGTACTTGTATTAAATCATCCAATTTGCATAGAAGAGATCGAATGTCTTTATATCAAAGATGAAAAATAATTAAAAATAATAAGAAATCTTTTTAAAGCTTTCCTTTCGTAGGAAATGAATACAACGCTTTGATTTGTAAAATATACTATATATGTATAATACGTAATAATATATTTTATTCCTTTTAATATGAATATTTTTAAGTATTACGAGAAAAAGTTTTGAGACTGTTCAATTCGTAATATCTAAAACCGACACTTGGTTTCTCTTATGTAAATAACGTGCAATTAGGGTGAATATAATTGGATCGATAAATAGTCGAATAATTGGTTTCTGCAACAATGGCTTTTAAACTCGAGTTATGTGCGAATGAACCGAAAAAGTGATCGTATTTTTAGTCGTTAAATTAAACAGATTCAGTAACCTTTTTGATTTAATTCGATTTTGATTTTCATTTAACGCTATATATTTTCATCTACTTATAATTAGTGTAAACCAAAAAAGAATATTAATTTGCATATATTTCTTGCTCTATATTATATTAGATCTTGCTCTATATTATATTAGAATTTATTTTCAAACTTTTTATATTTCATTAGAATGCAATAGAAAACAATATAAAATATTTGTTTCTATCTCGAATATAATATGAAAAATTTTTTGATTTCTTTACGTAATAACATATTCATAATTCAATTTTACATTTAACATTAGAACTGTTGACAAATAAATATTATTTTACCAATTAAATATTATTAGTTTACCAATTAAATATTATGTATTTAATTATATCCTTTGGCAAAAAGTGTATTGGAAAAAAGTAAATTAATCAATTCAATTATTCATTCGTTGTAACAAAATTCATGGAATATTTCTGGACATACATCGTTATATACTTGTTAATTTTTAAAAATTATAAATCAGTCAGTTGAATTGTTTCGTTAGTTCTAAAAAGAGTGTTTTACATGCGATCTTGAGATGATGATATGATTATTTTATTAGCTGAAGTCTTGATATGATTTAAGACTTGATTCAAGACAATCTTAAATTAAGATCAGATTATGAATACCATCAATAATTTTGTCTTCTTATTATTTTGTCTGTAT